GTAATGTAGGCAGGTTCTCCCAATGATTGAAAATCCCCCCTTTTCATAAAATGCTCAGAGGGTTTGTTACAACAGCATAAATCCCACACCTTTCCGCTTTCCACCTTTCCACCTTTCTATCTTTTCACATCTTCCAAGTATTACCTGGTAGAGATTGCCAGAAATCCCAAGTCACACTGAGCAACAAGTATCATGGTATCTGCCCCTGTATTGCCCTGCTAGTGTGTTGGCTTTACTCTCTCTTTTCCCAGTTCTGAAAACATTGTTCTCTCCTGTTTGCAATGAGAAATACCCTCAGCAGCAACAGGAAACCAGCAAACTGAGTGGTGAAGCAAACAGTGGAACTGAATCTTGAAAGGACACTGTTGAAACTGATGAAAAGACCAAGAAATTGCAAAGAAAAATGCCCTGTATTTCAGATTCTTAATGTTAGTAACCTTATTTATTGCATTATTGCAATAGTGTGGCAACAGTAAGTGGAGAAGCTCTGGCATGAATTAATTTTTTGCAGGTTTTTGTTTGTCTTGTTTTTTGAATGTTAGTCCACATGAGGTGTCCTTTGGAACAGCAAATTACTATTTTCTGTACTTCCAGCTGGAAAAAGAGAATTGACACTTACCTGTGATTGATGCTCTTTGTTGCAGTAGCAAAAACATACATTCAGGAGGAGAAATAGTTCTGTTTTTTAACTGCATCCATTAGATGTGAGATCTCTGTAAATACAGTAAATGGATAAGATATTCCCACAGCAGCTTTCCAGGCTCTTGCTTTGGAGAAGGTCAGTGAGGTAAAGGCCAGTGCTCAGCACACAAAGGCTCCACTTTGGGAAGGAATCCCTGTTTATGTCAGCAATGAAGCATGTGCTTTGGAGAGGTCTGAATTGGGGCTTAAATGTGAACCAGTGGAGGAATCCAGCCAGCTTTTGTGTGTAGGAGTACAGATGACATGTTCCACACTGGAATTTATGTAAATCCCAACTCTTTAATGCATGTCTAATTTCTGCTTTCTTAGATTATCCAAGCAATGTGTACATGTCCAATGAACAGTACTGTCATTTTGGGTATCTCCAGCATTCTTCCCATTTATCAAACCAGATCTTGCATCTAAAAGAAGTCCTTTTCTAATTTCCCTTTTGCAATTAGTTTTAAGAAAGAGGAAGAGATTGGGGGCCTTAAAATTTTTTTGTGAAGTAATTAATAAAACTAACCGCCCTTTAACACAAGAATACCAGGAAGCTTTTTTAGTATTCCCAGCTTTGGGATTTTGGGCAGTGCAAAGGAAGATCCTGTTGGTTGAGTTGAGTTGGGTTGGGTTGAGTGGGAGGCCTTCCCTCAAAGCTTGCCAATGAACCATAAATGCCAGTTTTAAACTGGAAGCTGGCAACCAGTGTAGGACATACAAATACCACAGAAGTGTTGAAAAGTTCAAGAAAGTGAATTATGTGTCATATTCTGCAGGATCTTGCCTAGGGTTTGTGCTTTCTTTCAAGATAGTCATGAATGGAAATCAAAATCTTCAATGATTATTGACTTGAATAAGCAGCTCAAGCCATAGAGCTGCTGATTCCTCCTTCCAGTTATTTTCAGTGCCAGCATTTCCATTATAGCCATGAGGCTGCCCCTCATCAGACACAGGAGAGCTTTTCCTTTCCTTCAAATGCTTTTCAAATGTGTTAGTAAAATCACCTAGGGATGAAATAGTTTCATTATGAAAAAAAAAAAAAAAAAAAAAAAAACCAAACCAAAAAAACCCCAAAGTTAATTGCCTTTTTAGTTCTGTACATGCTGAAGTATAAATAAAACTATGGAATGGAAAGTACCAGAACTATTTTAATCATTATAACTACTAGACCATATAGAAGAATGGGGAAGTTGATCCATGTGACACACACTTTAAAAAGTTTTTTATAAAAACAACAAAGGCAAACCCTGCAGTATTCTGAAGGAATGGCCTAGTCCTTGTATTGCAAAATCTGGGGTCATGCTGCAGTGCATTATAGTGCTCTTTCAAGGAAGATTTCTTGAAAATAATGCAATTCATGTTTTTTTTTTCTTTCATACATTCTTAAAACTCAATTCTCTGTTATCAGAGCCATCTAGAACTTGCAAAATGAAAGTCCACCAGTAAAATATGTACACATGCAGTAAATTCCCATGAAACTTGGAGGGGTTAAAAATACTGTGTATTGGGAAGGCCAGGCTGTTTGTCCTGATGGGTTTTTAGTAGTTTTTTGTATCATGTCCCTTAACTTAGGATTGACAGAAAGTTTCAGTGATGTCCTCATCTATACAATAAAGCCACTTACTTACCTTATCACACTGTGACAAGCTGGGCTGATAAGATGCTCTAAATTAGGGGTTTTTTTCCTTTCACCTGAGAGATTTGACATCCAAGGAGCTTTAGTATGTAAATAGCAACACTTTTTTGGAAAACTGTTTCATGCTGAATGCAGTGTGCTGGTCATTTTTACTGTAGCTTTCTTTGTTTTAAAGAATTTGGTGGTCTTAAGCTCAGAAATTGTAGACCAGAGAAGTAATACACAGTGGCCTGTGGATTCCCATATGAATTAAAATCCAAGTGACAATTCCAGTCGGGGCCACTTTATAGATTTATGCACAAAATGAAGACACTAGAAATGACCCATTTCTCTAGAGGGTTACCTGGAGATTTCAGCCTCTTCATATCTGAAATGAATCATCATGCTGCCCATCAGAAGTTTGAACAGTGATGGTGTAAATGACTATACATGAGGGTGTTCAGGAACAGACAAAGCTGACTCCAAATGCTCAAGCCTCATGTTCCGCATGTCACCACCCTTCCTTCCCCAAGCCTGCCTGCAAGGAAATTGCCTCATTAAGCTTTTCAGACTGAAGCTGCTTAAAAAAAATCTGGCTTGTTTTCAGAAGGACACAGTGCTTTGAAACTGTGCTTTAAAAGAAGAGGTTCTTATACCCAAAAAAAGCACATTAGGGGTGTTGTCTGTTACAAGAGTCTCCAAGCTGGTGCCCCCACACTTGAAAATGCCTTGACCCACACAGTGATATGTTGTCATTGCCCTCTTACACACAGGTGAATGCTTACAATGGACCTAAAGCCCTCCCTAGCTGATAATAGGGGATTTTCTTTATCCGAGGACAGGATTTTGCAGCCAGCAGCTGCTGGCTGGTAGCCAAGAAAAATGGGTGTTCATTACCCACTGGGGCTAATTGCACCCATCACGAACGTCAGCGTCGCCAGCAGAACAGATCCTCTTCACTGGATGTGTTTTTCCCAGTCCAGCTGGGATGACAAATAAATCCTCCACATATGAATATTTCAAACTCTCCCCAATAACCAGGTACTGTGTAGAAAAAGGAGTGTGTTGGTCAGGCCCAGCTTCTCAGTGTTGCAGTCACATCATGGGTTGACAAGTGCCTGTGGAACCCTGTGGAGGTCAGTGCCTCGTTCTGTTCTTCAGCTCCCCTGCCTGACAGTGGGAATGGTGATGCTCAGTCTCACCACCCCAGCCAGATGCTGTGGGGGCTCTGGTTAAAGCACTGTGCTGTGAAAATCTTCCTGCCAAACCCTGTGTTGCTCTATTCCATGAAGACTTCTGGAGAGACCCAGTTCTTAGGCAGGCTGAGGGCGCAGGAAGTTTGCAGTATTAGTGCCTTTTCCAGAAGGACTCCTCAGGCCTGCCTTTAGAAATTGCCATTTCTTGTAGCACCATGTGTCCCTCTGCACAGTGTTAGATTGATATTCCTGGTGCCGGCACACTGAACATGGTTGGCATTGTGTTCATACAGTCACAGCTTGGGTTTTATTTTGAAGTTTCTTCTGTAACTCAGGGTTTGTCAAGGTTTTATCACAATTTTTTTTTCTGGTAAAATAACCACATTATTTGGTCTTCCAGTCTATTATCAAGAGTGTGGAACATCCTGTAAGTATTTTAATAGTCGCCTTCTTCATTGCTGTGTCTGAATCCTTCACATTTATTTCTGTATTTATATTTCATGTTTATTGGGGAGCTCCTGATGGACACGCTCCCATATTTATGTGGCTGTACTGTACCCTGCTGTTTCTCTGAATGTTCTGTAGGTTGTAATGTAGTGGTCTCTGGGAACTGGTTTTATGATTCAGAAAATGATGGGACATGGCACTCAGTGCTCTGGTTGTCAAGGTGGTGTTTGCTCAAAGGCTGGTCTCGATGATCTCAGAAGTCTTTTCCAACTTAAGTGATTCTACAGTTCAGTAACGCAGCTGCATGTTTGGGGCTTGTATGAATTTTCTCTTGTGTGAAGTTTCACTGATAAACTGACCTTTGTGCCTCTGCCTGGGGGACCCAAATGTGTGACAGATAAAACTCAGCCCCAGAGCACCATGCTTGTTCAGGGACCTCAAAACTTCTCCAATTGCCCAACAGTTTGCTTTGTATGAAGACCATCTGTCTGTGTGATCTTGGTACAGCACATGGAGGTTATTTCAGGATAAAATTGCAACTTTTTTTGTAGAGAAGACCAGCTGAGGTGGCTGAACCCTGCATTGGAGAATGAAAAATTATTTCTCTGTAATACTTAGGTTCTTGCTCAAGAAGACCACATATATCACATAATCATAGAGTCATGGAATGGCTTGGGTTGGAAGGAACCTTAAGGATCATCCTGTTCCAACCTCCTGCCATCGGCAGGGACACCTTCCACGATCCCGGGTTGCTCAGAGTCCCATCCAGCCTGGCTTTGGACACTACCAGGGATGGAGCAGTCACAGCTTCTCTGGGTAACCTGTTGATCAAAGACCAGTAAAATACTAAGATTTAGAGCCTAATAAATACAGCATAAACAGTGTTTAACCTAGGGAGTTTGTACACAGTGATTGCCTCTCAGAATTCAAGGTTGATTCATGTCAGAGCAGGCACTCTCGGAAACACCCAACCGATGCTCTTCCAACTTCTGCTAGCTCAGTAAGACAAAAATAACCACCTTTATCTTTACTAATAGATAAATTTGCTTTCTTTTCTCTAGGACTGCCTTAAAGCTTGTCAGGAACAGATCGAGGCAGTGCTCGTGAACAGCCTGCAGCAAGTCCGGCAGCAGCAGCAGCAGAGCAATCCCTCCAAGACAGTGGATGAACTGGACCAGGCCAGCACTCCCACAGATGTGAGAGACATCAACCTGTGAGGACATGGGCACACAAAGTCACGCTTGCTCCCCCAGACCCTTTATTTTTGTTATTATTTTTAGAGTGAATTTTTTTAATCTGCTCCCACATAGAACATATTTAAAGCTCTTTTAGGTATAAAGAAAAACAAAAAAAAAGTACAAAAACTGAATAATGAAAAAAAAAAAGCATTTGGTGCCTGTGACGTTCTACAGAAGGGAATCCCACAATATAGTTGGTAATTGCTATTTGATTATGTATCAGTGATATTAAATGCTTATAAAAGCATACAAAGTAGCTAGATCAATGTAAGCCTGCATTTGTGGGAACAAAGTAGAGTATACTTGTCTGTGTATTATGAACTAGTGCATACACCCCTTTTTTAGATATAAGAAAGGAATCGTGTGTGCGATTTTATGGCTTGACTAGATTGCAAAGCAATAGAATAAGGGGTTTAGGGCAAAGTGGGAAAAGATCCCTGAAGCAATTGAACCATTTTGAATGCAGAAGAGATTTGCTGATCTGTCACCTCTGTTATTAGTCAGAAGTGTTTGTTGGATCTCTGTATGTTAGTTTTGTTTACTCTTGCTGTCTGTGGTAGCTGCTACCTAAGAAAGAAGATGCTTTATTTTACCAGCCAGAAGAGCAGGTGTCTTTTGGGCTTTTTTTTAGTTGATTTATTTTTCTTTTTTTTTTTTTTCCCAACTTCCCCTCTGCCCCTCTTGACTTTTTATCTACTTTTCCTTCCAAAATGGTTCATTCTAAATACAGCAGCATGTTTAGCATGAGGGTAATTCCTTTTACCCAGCCGTGGGCCGAGCCAAAGTTCCCAAGTATTCACGGTCAGTGGGGGGAATGCACACATTAATCCCGACCTGTTGGCTGGGCAGACCACCTCCAACCTTTGGATTGCAAGATGTGGTGGATCATCTAGGAAAAGCATTATATTCCTTTACAGTGCTAATGCTTCATGTCCATGTTAACGTCTGGCAGCTTCTTAGCTTGGCCACAAAGACATTTAAATTATGCTCTGTCCATCTTCCCTTGTAATAGCCCCTCACTGTGTTAAAGAAGATGAGGTTTGGTTTGCTCCCTCGTCTCTCTTCCCCCCCACTCCCCCCACACACCTTTTCAGCATTTCATTAACTTTATTGATCCACAGTGAGCGTTTTTGTAAACCATTTCATTCGAAAAGCACTTTGAAAATTGTTCCTAAGGGATTAAATGAGATGGTTTATGACAATTTTGCCGAGAAAAGAAAAACAAAAAAAAAAAAAAAAAAGAGGAAAAAAAAAGAAAAAAAGAAGAAAAAAAAGAAAGAAGTCACAAAAGCAAGGCTTTGTATAGCTTTTTATAGTCAATATTTTCCAGTATCTGGTGTACTCGGTTAGCTGTGGTGTTGCTGGAAATACCAACACCCGCTTCAGATGACATTCCTGTCATGACATTCCGGATAAAAGCCTGACCATCTGTATTGTTCAGTGTCACAGAAGGATCTTAATACCACCTGTGTGTTTATCTATGGACAAGGAAAGAAAATTGTTGGTGCAACAGCCATGGTGGTAAACATCGAGGTGCGTGACTTGGAGTTTTATTACAAAGGTGTATTCAGTGTACTTGAATTTATTTTCCTGCTCCACCTGTAACGAAGAGGCATTTAGATGGCAAAGGAGCTGGAGCAACTTTTGGTTTTTTTGGTTCTAGATTTTTGGTTTTTTGTTGTTTTTTTTTTTTTTTTGCACAATTTTATTAACAGTTTGCAGATATCCAATATGAAGCTGTTGGTTGAAATGTTAATGTTCGCATTTTTAACACAAAAATCCAGAAAGAACATGCTACTTCGAAGAATATTATATGTATGGACTCAGCCTATTTGGCTAGATGAGGGTAGAAAATGGAGTAAGATTCTAAGGTTTTGTTTTTTTGGTTTTGGGGGGTTTTTTGGTTTTGGTTTTTTTTTTTTTTGCGCTGCTAAGAAGCTATGATTTGTTTCATTCTTATTCACATTAACAGTACTTAGCTGTATTGTTTCACTGAGTGTGCTGCTATTTTATAAACATTTTTATAATATATTATTTTACTGCTTAAATTTCAAATCCTGAAGTAGATGGTTAAGTGGAGATATGATGAGTTCTTTGATTTACTGGAAATGCCCTGTACAGGTTTTTTTTTCCCTATAGCGTGTTCATGATTTTTTATTTTATTTTATTTTATTTTTTCCTTCTTTCTTCTTACTTTTTTTTTTTAATCTCCTTCCTTCCCGATCACATCCTGCAAAGATGGTATACTTACCTCAGGTTTGCTGGACAAGAAATGGTTCCCATTTTCACAATACCTCACACAGTGACAGTTTGGTTGCCCCGGGGCCCGCCCGGGAGAGGTTGCAAGCAGCTGAGGCGGGGCACTGGCTCCTTTTTGGTCTCTGGTATCCTTTTCATAGTGGAAAAAATGCATTGACTCTCCACTGGTGAGCAGGTCTGTTCTCCCCAAAGCTGCTGCTGGGCACAGCCTTGGCCTCACCTCCCGCCTCGACGTTCTGCGTTGGGAGCACCCGGAATTCTGCGGCGGTGTCTCTGTCCTGGAGGAAAAAAGCAGCTGATGTTGTTGAAGCAAGACTGTGGAGCCACACACAGTTTAGATCAGATCAGATCAGGTCAGATCATTCCTTGTCAGCCCGGCCCCTTGGCTTTATGGGGAGCTGTGCCAGAGGGTCCTGATGGTGGGGTGACCTCTCCCAGTGCTGGCACTGTGTCCATCATGTTGGCGTGATTTGCTCCGTGCCTTAGTCCAGGTGTAGGCAAGATATGTGTTTAGGGTGCCTGCCCCTGCTCTTCATCCAGCCTCCTTCACACCCACAGGCTGATCCCTGCCGTGGAACATGGGGCTGATCCCTGCTGTGGATCACAGGGGTGATTCCTGCCATGGAACACAGGGCTGATCCCTGCTGTGGAACATAGGGCTGATCCCTGCTGTGGATCACAGGGGTGATTCCTGCTGTGGAACACGGGGCTGATCCCTGCTGTGGATCACGGGTGATTCCTGCTGTGGATCACAGGGGTGATCCCTGTTGTGGATCACAGGGGTGATCCCTGCTGTGGAACACAGGGCTGATTCCTGCCGTGGAACACAGGGGTGATTCCTGCCGTGGAACACAGGGCTGATCCCTGCTGTGGAGCACAGAGATGATCCCTGCTGTGGATCACAGGGCTGATCCCACTGGGTCACCCCTCTGCAGAACTGAAGGGGCAGGGGCTGAGGGCCACCTCCATGGTCGGCTGCTCTACAGCAGGCTGGGGGCGAGCTGTGGTGGAAGGAGCAGCGCCCTTCAGCATTCCCACTCCCTGCAGGGTCCTGGTGGGTCTGTGTGTGTCCCCACCAGGGTGAGGAGTGTCCTTGGCTGCAGTGACATGCTCAGCAAGTGCCAACCCTCTGGTTACAGTGTACTGTTTGAAGACTGCAAACCCTACAACTTGAGTGCTTTCACATTAGCTTTCAGAATAAAATGACTGCCTAGTACTCTCTGTTAACAGATTTTAAAGGACGTGTGTTGTTTCTGCAAATGAGGTGTGAGATTTTCCCCTCCTGAATTGCAGAAATCGTAAACCTCCCGATTGATTGATTAAAAAAGAATAGAAAGTGTGTTGCTGATTCTGCCTTCCCAAGTGCCAAAGGATTGGTACAGTTGCTAAAAGCATTTCTCTCTCAACTTCCAACTAATGGTACTTTGATGGTCTTCTCCTCCTTCCCGTTACTGTAGTGTAGGAGCACCTCATAATGTATTTATTTGTGTTTCCAACTTGCTTGTGAAAGAGAAAAATACCAATTAATGCCATGTCCAATTAATTCAATGTTGATGATTTATGCTTGAGTAATTGGACAACTCTTAATTACTCAGCAAACCACCTGGCCACTGGATTTTTTCCACTATGTTTATTACCATGTTCTCATGTACCTCAGAAATCACTCTTGGTTGCACAGTTTCTGTTCTCAAACTTTTTTGGGTTTTGTTTTGGTTTTTTTTTGGTTTTGTTTTGTTTTTTTTTTTTTTTTTGTTTTTTTTTTGTTTTTTTTTGCTTTATTGAGTGTGATGCCATATCAAGTCAACGTTATTCTCTCACAAATGTGCTCTTTAAGAGGTGTGGATGATTATGTGGTCAGGGTATGCTAGAAAGTGTGGTAGTAGACATCAGTGTAAACAAAAGTATTTAGAAAGTACCTGAGGTTGTTTTTGATGGATAAGACTCTGATACGGTGTAGTCTTGATTGCCTTTTAAAAGGTTTTGTTCAGTGTTGTCATTTTTATTAATAACCTATTGTTTTGACTAGTTTAAAGATGGTTCTAAGAAAAGTGTTTTGGCGGGATTAGGTATGCTGTATGGACAATAAACTCACCTTGACCTAAATGTACTTGCCTTGCTTTTATTCCTGTAGTGAATTTGGTTGTGTCACTCATTCCATGGTGGTGTTTCCTTAGTGGGATGTGATTCTAAAGCCTCTGATCTGGATAGATGGTGTTAGTAGGCATATAAAATGAAGGCTGCAGTCACAGAACAAGCCTGCCTCTAAAATGTAGCTGCCTTCCCACTGGATAGGCAAATTCTGGCATGTAAGCCCTCAAGATTCAAGGAGAACAAAGTCCTAAAAAGTGGTAAATTGCAGGATCAAAATATTTTGTGGGAATCAAATTGAGCTGGTGAAAGGCGACATGAAGTTCACATTTTTGCAATGAACTGAAATACGATTTAAACCTTCACTCAGATGTTAATTGCACTGGAATGCTACAGCAAAAATCAGATGGTTTTTCTTCCTGTAAACCTGGGGAAACCATGAGTAAAAGGAGTGGGATTTGTGGTGAGGCCAATGAGTCCATTGTCCAGAGTCTGCTTCCTCAGCCTGTGGCCAGGAGGGCAGGATGCTCAACCTCTCCTCTCCCACATCTGCTTGTGGGTGCCTGCTGTGAAGTGACCAAGCTCCTGTGGGATGTGTTTGGCTTGACCTCTCCTCCACTGCCATCCAGTAGCAGTTTTCTCCTGAATTTCCAGCCCTTTTTCACCCTGGGAACAGCAGAGAGACGCTGAAGAATGAAGAAGAGGCATTTGGGCAGACATACTGGGGAAACATCATCACAAAGTGAATTATACTGCCAAACCCAAAGATAAATGAAAGGAAAATACCCCAAAAGACAAACTTCAAGATAAAATGAACAGGGAAAAGGAAAAAAAAACTGAAAGAATAAATCTTGCTAAAATAAAGAAATATATGAGCAAAAATAAACAGACACAAATAGAACAAATAATGCATGGAAATATTAATTAATTATGAATTATGGAATTAATTTTAATGAATTAAAAATTAATGGGAAATGGGGATTAAATTAGGAGGCTGGGGGTCAGGAGATACAGATCTTTCTAGCCATAATCACACAATCTTGAGACTTGTGGTTTTAGGGAAAGTCTCTGAAGACTTCCCTGCCAAATGTCTTGTGAGCCTCACATTTCCCAGTTTATCTGCACCAGAGCTAGAGATTCTAAAACATCACAAGTCCAGGGTTTTCTCTGATCACCATTGATCAACATGACCAGCACCTTCTAGCATTTAGTAGGCTCAGCTTGGAGCCTGTGCAGGACTGTAACTGTGCAGTGACCAAGCCCTGAACAGATTGTCTGGAGAGAGTGTGGAGTCTTCCTCACTGGGGATATTCCAGAGCTGTCTGGACACAATCCTGTGCTCTGGGATGACCCTGCTGGAGCAGGGAGACTGTACCAGATGCCCCAGTGTGGTCCCTTCCAACCTGACCCATCCTGTGCTTCTGTGATTGTGGTTCTGTTTAAGAGGGTTCTCAGAGGTGATCTGCATTCCAGCTGGGCTGCTGATGTTCCTGCTGATGCAGCCAGGAGACAACACTGAAACTTGTGGGAGCCTCAGTGAGGACACTTGCCAAGGAGAACATCAGGTCAGTGCTGTGCTGGGCTCCAGGGGCACTGTGAAGGAAGGGCATCTCTCAGCAGCAGTGGTATTCAGTCAAGACCTATTAGGATTACAAATTAAGGTGAGTAAAGCACTGAGGTATTTACACTGAGGTAAGAAAAAACACTGAGTTTTGCTGCAACCTGCTAGAGAGAGAGAGAAAGGAGTTGATGCAAAGAAGAAAACAAGTTACAGGGAAAATATCTGTCTCCTTAAATGCCTGTCATTCTGTAGAAATGATGTGATGCTAGCTTGGTCTTGCCATTGAGTTTTCTCTAAAAATAAACTGGGTTGTTATTTGAGCTCATCCAAAATGCAACATGCAGAAACTGCAAGAAGAATTAGGCCAGAGCACTGAAGGAAGAGGGAAAGGTCAGCAGACCGGCTGTGTTTGACTCCTCAGATTACTTAGGAACCCTTCTTACAGCAACAGCTCTGGTTCATCTGACAGAAGACTCACAAGCATCCCTGAAGAGCAATATATTGACCTTTCTGGTGAGGGTTTTCAGAACTTGAGCAAAGCTGTGAGTGGGACATAACCAGCTGGAGGATGAGGGATGAAATCAGCATTTTCATCCAGCACAGTCAAACAAAAATTTATCTCAGTTGTTTTCCAGCTTCCTCACATTGTCTCTGAGGGGAGAACTCACCACACTCTGCAGCCTCACCAGGGGAAGAGGAGGGGCAGCCCTGATCTCTGCTCTGTGTGACCAGGGACAGGAGCTGAGGGCACGGCTGGAGCTGTGTCAGGACAGGGTTAGGGTGGGTATCAGGAAAAGGTTTTTCCCCCAGAGGGTGCTGGGCACTGCCCAGGCTCCCCAGGGAATGGTCACAGCCCCAAGGCTGCCAGGAGCATTTGGACAGCGCTCTCAGGGATGCACAGGGTGGGATTGTTGGGGTGTCTGTGCAGGGCCAGGGGTTGGACTGGATGATCCTTGTGGGTCCCTTCCAGCTCAGGATATTCTATGATTCCATGATTATAAATTCAACTTGTTTGCGAGAACGAAAAGCTTGTTATTACGATTACTTTGGATCTGCTTCTTAGACGCTACAAAGTATTGATCTTTCTGGTGTGCGCTGATGGCAGTGCTTAATCTCCCAGGTTTAGGTATTAGGGCATGGCGTAACGCTACAGATATTTGCAGCAGCAGTGCCTAAACTGTGGGTGTGAGCGTTCTCGGCGAGCAGCAGCGCCAGGGCGAGGGGCGGGATCCGCGATCCCGGGAAAGGATCGCGGCGAGGGCTGTGGGGCGGGATCCGCGATCCCGGGAAAGGATCGCGGCGAGGGCTGTGGGGCGGGATCCGCGATCCCGGGAAAGGATCGCGGCGAGGGCTGTGGGGCGGGATCCGCGATCCCGGGAAAGGATCGCGGCCAGGGCTGTGGGGCGGGATCCGCGATGCCGGGAAAGGATCGCGGCCAGGGCTGTGGGGCGGGAAGGGCCGCGGCGGGGCTGCAGAGCGCGGGGGGCGCCGCCAGGGGGCGCCCGCGCAGCGCCCGCGGCCCTGAGGGCGCCGGGGCAGCGCCGGGATCCCGCAGATCCCGGGAACATTCCCGGGACATTCCCGCGGCTCCCACAGCCCGCAGCCACGGCTCCGGCAGGCGGCTGGGTGTTCCGCCGAGGGGCTGCCCCTGCAGCCCGGGTATCGCACTGAGAACCAGCTTAAATCAGTGAAAAACGTGCCCGAAGTCACTCCGCCACGAGGCCCCAGTTTGAGGCCTGTCCGCAGCACAATCTCTGTGGAGGATTTGCCTCTCCTCACGCCAGCACATCCTTCAGAGGAGCATTACACAGGCAGAGAAGTGACACAGAACTGAAGGAATTCAGCAAAGGTTTCTGCTGGGTGTTCTCTGTAAGTGCAAAGAGCAAGATCAGATCCCAAATGATAATTGAAACGGGAAACCTGATCGAGTGGCTGAGCCACGAGGATCTAAGTCAGAAGGTACAGGTTTTCCAAGCTGTTCTCTCACAGAGCCAAAGTGGCTTGTGAGTCACCCAAAGGGGGTGACTTCAGACAAAGTTTCTCTCAAACTTTGGACTGTCACTTTTGCAAAAGGACCTGTATGAAAGCACGCACTTAGAAGAGATGTTAACAGTGTAGGCTCATGTTTGAGACTTGGTCCTCTGAACCATGCATGAGACACAGCTGGAGTTTTATCACCGCAGCAAAACACAGTTGTTTTTAATGGTGATACAACAGAAATAGGTCGGAGCTGATTCAGTTGGCATTTACAGGTGAGACTGTCACTCCTTGAAAATGTGAGTTCCAAAATCTGTGGAGGAGAGGCACTGCAGAAATTTGAGTTTAACGCCATGCTGTGAACGGAGGATTAAAAGGAAACGAAACAGACACAATTGTTGTATTAAATATTTAATTGTGCATCTGCTTCAAACAGCTACCAAATGAAACAAATCATGTTGCAGTCTTCATTTAGAACATATTTGGTATTAAAGCACAAACCATTTTCAAACTGAGGTCAGACCTCTGGGCAACCCAGAGGAATTTCTCGGATTTTTAGATAGCATTTATTCAATCCGGTTGAGAAATCCTGAAGGAAATACACTCAGCTAACCAACTAATATTTTGGTTAATCACACTGTCTCTAAGGCATAAAAATTCAGCTTTCTGAGGGGAAAGGATGAGTTCCAGTTGCTTCTTGTGTTACTTTGTTCATTTTAACAGCAGGAATTTCTAGGTTGCCCAGAGAAGCTGTGGCTACCCCTGGATCCCTGGAAGTGTCCAAGCTAGGTTGGACAAGGCTTGGAGCAACCGGGGACAGTGGAAGATGTCCCTGCCCATGGCAGGGGGTTAGAACTGGATGAATTTTAAGGTCCCTTCCAAGCCAGGCCATTCCATGATTCTGTGCAGGACACGACCAGTGTGGTCGCAGCCGTGTGTGGGTGCTGACATCTCACGCTGCTCTGCCTTGGAAACTGCTGCTTTAAACTATTCCTTGGAACCGGCTTGCCTTTGCTGATGGTTACTCCGGGGTGTGATTTGGCTGCCCAGGCTTCTAACATGTGAGTAATGTCCTTTATCCATCTATATATAAATATCAATGTATTGATACTACTCTAAGCAAAGCACTGCTGCACTGGAGCTGCAGGCTGAGCTCCGGAGCAGCTCAGCTGAGACAAGAGGCTGGTAATTGCCCGGTAATTGCTGGTAATTCCCTTTTGCCCAGCATAGCGCCCCGTGGCACCAGGCAGGGGGTGAAAACCCATCTCTACAAAGGACTTTAATCACAAACCCTTAATCTGTGAGGGTGTAAAAGCGCAGGGGTTGCCTGGTGCTGCGTCCCTCCTGGAAGACCACCAGCTCGGGCTCTTTTTTTGTCATTTAGTAATTGCACCGCGATTGAAGTGTTTTTCAGAGCTGGACATCTGAGACTCTGGTAAGGGAAACCTGGAATTGAGCCAGTAAGGAAAGCCGGTCC